GTAAACTATCATTGCATTTTTAAAGGCTGCTACACAGCGTCTATATTTATTCCGCTTGCATTTGTACCCAGTTCTGTCGTCTCGGTGACCTTAGCCAACGAACATCAAATGGACTGGGAAAAAGCCGGTTTGACTTAACCCACACGAGGGTGTAGCCCAGTCGATCTGCGTCTCTTAAAAGAGATTGACAGACACATAAAACTGGGAGCAATTTCGCTAACGCAATAGTCATGATCTTGAGCCATTTTCCAAATTAAAAACTACTGTTGGTGAACTTGGGATCTGCATTCGAGGCTGCCAACTTGATGTCAACATGGGCCTGGGCTCCAACGGAGCTGTGTTGTGAGATACAGCTGCAGCCACTGCCGCTGATGCTGTTGATGCTGCTGCAGTTGCTGGCTACGGTTAAAGCGATGCCTCGACTCCGAGTCGGCTTGGCGAACAGGTGTTCTGTCGGGAGGGTGCTTCGGCAAAACCCGCATGTTGGTGCAGACAAGATTAGGAGGCCTGTGTCGCATGACGAGGAATTGATTCCGCCTCGTAGAGGTGAAAGCGAATGCCAAGTTTTTTTTTCTAGTCTTCTGGAATAGTGCACACGATAGGAATCACTTCGGTGGACAATACAGCCGATCAACACATCCAACGCCTCGGATGACCTGAGGCTGCAGGTGCAGATTCGATGCCAGCCCCCTTGTCTGGAGCTGCAGGAACACATGTGATGTTAAAACCGATACTGGGGTGGAGAACGTATCCTCGTGAACAGTGAAAAATGTGGAATTGACAAAATAGAAGCAAGATCTACGCCAAACTAGTAGATTTGTTGTCATCAGAAAATAAGGTTAAGTGGTTGTCGATGAATCGCCTGAGATACCATTGTTCGGGGGACTTTCATTTCGTATGAAAGTGAATGAAGAAGAGATTCGTAAGTCGATCTCACCAGAAGAGGATGGAGAAATTGCGTTGTACTGTAGCCGTTTGGCTTCTATACGACGTTTAGTTTGTCACAGTCTACGAGACTTCCTCCCTCGTTTCGGGTGAAACGGGATGAGCTTCGTCTATCATATGATGGATGTCATCAGAGATGGAACTCCATCTTCTAAATGTCTGAAGCTAGCAAATAGTGAAATTCCTTGAAATTCACATTTTCCCTGTGAGCCAAGGACAATCGTGGCAATGTGGCCGAGTGGTTAACGTGTCAAGCTCCCATTCTCCCGCTGAGGGTGTTGAGAAGACCGATGCGAGGTCGAAACTGCATTCCACTAGTGCCTGGATGACAACAACTTTTGGGAAAGTAAGGCTATGTGAAATTCAATGGAAACGTCCGCTCAACTCATATCATTGTGGGAAAATTCTTCTTCTACCAGTCCTTCATCACCTTAAACGAAATTGGGTGAATAAATCTCATATTCGCAAACAGTGAGTCAAGGAGGCTATACGGATGTATCTTGCCTCTTCTATTAAGTCATAATCAGAAACGAAAAAGAACAGGCATAGAAAGATATAGAATGGTATGAGTAATTATCCTTCATACTGATCCCACTACTTGAGCTCGAATATTTGTGTGAGTGTGCTTTTGTGTGTCTAACGTCTGTCTATACGTAAAACCGATCCTAAATCAGAGCGATCAAAAAGGCTGATATGAGGTTCTGGTCTTCAAGACTTAATGATCCAAGAAAGAGCTCTGACAGAGACTGCGTAAGTCCTTAATCAAGTATGGTTGAGATGATGAGATGTAAGCTTGTAAATGTGTAAGCCAGGTTACAAAATCACCTGTCCAAACCTCTCAGTCTATGTTTACTAATGTTAGGGGGACCTTGATTTCGTATAAAAGCGCATTAAGAAGAGATTCGTTGGTCGATTTCACCAGATGAGGACGGATGAAACTCGTCGTACTGCAGCCGGTTGGATTTTATACGATATTCATGTTGAAGCAGTCCACGGGACTTCCTCCCTCGTTTCGGGTGAAAACGTGCTGAGCTTTCGTC